TATTATTATTACCAGTTCTGCAAATACGTAAGTCCTTATCCACTTTCAAAACTTGGGTGTCCATCTAGAGCAGGGGTGTCAAACTTAAGGCCTGTGGACCAAATCTGGCCTGTGGGGTGCTTAGATCAGGCCCACGGGGCCACCCTGGAAACAGCAAAGGCCTGTGATGTATCTGCCGGGCAAAACAGAGCTCAGGAGGGCCACGCGTAGCCCTCTCAAGCTCGAATTTTACTGGCAGAGTACTCAGGCCACCACAGCTGAGTGTTGTCAAGCTGATCATGTCTACCCAGGCCATGCCCACCTGGCTCCCCAAGGTCAAACACAACCCTGATATGGCCCTCAATCAAATTGAGTTTGATACCCCTGATCTAGAGAGTTAAGAATAGGTTGAAGTACCATTTCCCGATTTCCCTTCTTGGTTAAACTGCAGTTCCTTGGTAGCTATTAGCTTCTTTCCTCTTAAAAAAATTATACTAAGATTGTACAAATTCTGCTCTCAAAATAAATCATACAAATACTGTATGTATTTTAGTCCAGCATGGATAATCTATAAGCATATTAAGAAATCCATAAGAAAGAAAACAAAACAGAGGTTGGCAACATAAAAGTACAGTGTGGGAAAATATTTGTAATAATGCAGTGTTCCATTCAGGAAAATCCAGAGATCAATTGGAACAAGCAAATCGCTTCACCTTTGGGTGGGGGGAAACGCTCTTATATATCATTCATGAACTCACGACAAAGGTTTCGTGTCCTGTGTGAAATGTAGTATAGAGGCTCTCTTGGGACTATGAAGGTGAAGCTTTTAAAGAACCTTAGATATATTTCCAAAGGAAAATATAACACCACTTCTGGCATCTTCCTAATGGGGGGGAAAAAAAACTCCTGAAATGTATTGCATGAGCCAGTTTAATACATCAAATTCATCAAACTGAAAAATTAAGAATATCCTATAAGACTTTCACATACTCCTATAGGCTGTGCGGTGGCCTTTCTTATTCCAAATCCTTAGTGTGAATTAATGAATGTTATTTGGGAGAAATTACATATAATTAGGAGCATGCACAAACTCTTTGTTCTGCTCATTTGAGAAAGTGGTTTCTATTGACAGACTATCCAAAGTGTTTTACTATCCCCGCTACCGTCTTTCATTAAAGGATATATGAGGATATATGTTGCTTTATCTATATTGCCTCTATAATAGTGTTGCAAAAGTTGGCTATTTATACTTCAGAATACCAAATGTGACATGTTATCATCAGGAACCATTTGACGTAATGATGACACTGAGCAAGAAGGCTTACACAACCAGTCTTCAAAGTTACAGCTGTCACACTGTCACGACAGTCACAATATGGGTGTTTGGCAACCAGCAGGCAATTTCAATGGTCCCAGTGCCTCAAGGTCACATGATTGCTATTTGCGACTCTTCGCTGCCAACTGCCAGCAAACAAACGCAATGGGGAAGGCAGCAGGAAGTCTCAAGCCTTAATCACATGATATCAAACTTAATGACCCAATTAGAACTACCAGATCTGCTGTCATGAGTTGGTACGATCATGTAATATTTTTTTTCACTTTGCAATCATGATGCTTAGCGGTGGAGGTTGCTTGTACCAATTGTGATAGTTAACTGAAGACTAGCTGCATTTTCAGAAATAAAAGAGCATTTTGTGAAGTTCTACAGTTCAGATTCATCACTTGTTCCTCATTTTCTCATTGTGAATGGGATAATAGTTATAGGGAGATATATTTTTGGGCAGGGGAGGGGTATATGTCCTACCACTCCATCAGCACCTGGGATCCAGTTACAACAGCATCCCTAGGAACATAAACACAAGAAATTATTCCAATAAATTTCAGGTGCTTTTAGGAGGGTGATTTTCCTGGGTTTCTTCAATCCTGTTGACATGGTAATTTGAATATCAAGAAGGGATGAGAAAGGAGAAATGCAAAATCACTACTTAGTGATCTCTAATTTTGTGCAGGTGAAAACTCTGGCAGTGGCTGATTTTGCTGCTTTAGTGCCATGCAGGGTCTAGAGGAAGTCATGTAAGCAAGGGGCGTAGAAATACCTTAAATAATAACAAAAGAATCAAACAAAGCACAAAGATACATACATTGTTAAAAATACATAGCAAGTGCCCTAAAAAAATAACTGAAAACAGAAAAATAAAATAAAAAATATGCTGTTACAACAATACAGGTAGTCCTTGACTTACAACTATTCGTTTAGTGATAGAAGTTACCACGGCACCGAAAAAAGTGACTTATAGCTGTTTTTCAAACTTACTGCTATTGCAGCATCCCTATGGTCACACGATCAAAATTCGAATGCTTGGCAATTGGTTCATATTTACAACGGTTGCAGTGTGTCCCGGGGTCGTGTGATCCCCTTTAGCAAACTTCTGACAAGCAAAGTCCAATGGAGAAGCCAGGTTCACTTAACAACTGTGTTACTAACTTAATAACTGCAGTGATTCATTTAACCACTGTAGCAAGAAATATCATAAAAGGGGTCAAGACTCACTTAACAACTGTCTTGCTTAGCAACAGAAATATTGGGGCCAATTGTGGTTGTAAGTTGAGGATTGCCTGTAAAAAGTTATATTTCTCTATATAATTGTCTAATGTAATCATTCTACACAAAGAGAGAGAGAGGGGCAGAGAGACAGAGACAGAGACAGAGTCGTTCTTAAATTTATAATAATTATTATTATTATTATAATTATTATAATTTTTTAATTTGTAAGTTATTACGTACTCTATTTTGTATAAATGAGTCCCATATTTTGTTATACCTATACCTATATAAAGTCTACATATATAGACAATCTGCTTGTATTATCAGTATGATTAGGTCTACAATCCATTGAGAAAATGGGACCCTACATTTATCTTTTCAATGCTGCAGTATCATTCTTGGCCACAATAAGGGCATTTGCATGGTTCAGCTGTCAAATTACATGTACTAGATATGTAATCAAAAGAATATTATTTTCTGAAAAATGTAGCTTTTGCTGCACGGTCATATTTATATTGTCCACTACTTTCAGGGTATAGGTAGACAGCAATAGCACTTAGACTTATATACCACTTCATAATGCTTTACAGCCCTCTCTAAGAGCTAGCATATTGCCCCAAATAATCTGGGTCCTCATTTTACCAACCTCGCAAGGATGGAAGGCTGAGTCAACCATTGAGAATCGAACTACTGGCAGTCAGCAGAATTAGCCTGCAATACTTCATTCTAGCCACTGTTCCACCATGGCTCATAGATCACAGTGATATAATTGTGATGAGTTAAAGTAAACCAAAAAAGGAATAGGTACTTACAGTTGGAAGGTTGACTAAAGAGAGGAGAGAGGGAGAGATAGTTCTTAGGGTTTTTTATCAGGTGATCAAACTGTTTAAATATAATGAGTTATAGTTATGTATTGTATCAATTCCATAATTACATTGTTTTCCTTGACTGTTAGTGACGGAAGGGTTTTAAATTGAAGTAAATCAAACAATTAATGGTATGTGCATTTATACTTCCTTTCGTATTCCTGCAGAGCGAATGCTCTGTGAAGAGACAGAGGACTTTAGTCCCCAAGCTTGCCAATCCCTTATCTTTTGTGAACTTTAAATTAATTTTTAAAAACCTATTTATTCAAGGTTGACTAAACAGCTAAAATAGGAAAGATCAGACAAATCAGGAGCAAGGAATGAAATATGAGGAAACCGGTATTCTTTGACAAAGTGTCCCAGGGGGTAAGTGTGCTGAATGTAGCCAGTAGGGAAATGATAAGGGCATTTATGCTGGGATAGAAGAAAGCAATTTATCAAGAGTACATGAGCTCTCCAGTGACTACCAGCAAAGAAGATACCAAAGTGCATATGGAGGAAGAGGACTCCCTCCAAGAAAATGTTTAAAGCTGACAAAATTGCATTTAAAAAGTATAATAAAGAAGTCCATTTTGTTAAATGTTACCCCTCATCAAGGATTCTTGAATCTTTCAGAATAAAAAAATAAAAACAAGAAACAGTTGAACTGATTTTGAAGTTATTTGAATGGAAATGGGGGGAAGCCAGAGAGATTACTGGGTGAAGTCTTTGTGTGTAAATGAATTTGCACATATGTATTAAAATGCAGTTTCAAACAGCAAAATGTTAAGTGAAAGTTAAAAAGCCGACATTATTTTAATTTTTTCATTTCATTTCTATATCTCAACTGAGTACATTGTGCAAATAGATATTTTCCCTCTTCAGCCTATCTTAAGGATAAAACTGTTTAGAGAAAGAGATACTAAATTTATATACCCAATTATCTACCACACATACAAAAGTGTGTAACAGAATAACAGAGTTGTGCTATGTGTGGTAGATAATTAGGTGTATAAATTTATTTGTTTTTCTAAATAGTTTTATCCTTAACATGGGCAGAAGAGAGAAAGTATATATTGTACAATGCACTCTGTTGAGAGAGTAACATGAAATGTTATTAGTCAGGAATTTGCTATCAGTGCGCTTAAATGTGTATTTTGTGCATCTTATCTTCAGTTATTATGGTGTAATATGCTCTTTTAATGTAGCCTAAAATTGTAGTTTGAACAGTACAGTTTAATAGCACTTAGCATTAGCACTTAGACTTATATACCGCTTCACAGTGCTTCACAACCCCCTCTAAGCAGTTTACAATAAGCATAATTCCCCCATCACTTTGAGTCCTCATTTTACCGACCTCGGAAGGATGGAAGGCTGAGTCAACCTTGAGCATGGTGAGATTCAAACTGCCAAATTGTAGGCAGCCAAATTGCAGGCAGCAGAAATAGCTTGCAGTACTGCACTCTAACCACTGCACCATCATGGCTCTTACCTCAATAATCTTAATAATAATATCTTAATCTTAATAATAATAATATATTAAGATTAGATATCTTAATCTTAATAATAATAGATTCAATTTAATGCACTGTCCTCATTTCACCTTTCTCTGTCTTTATTCCTTCTTTCAGCTTTGGACAAGCTTAGCACTCAGCATTTGTACCATCCAACTCAAGTGGAGATTGTGCAATCCAACGTTGTGTTCGACATCAGCAGCTTGATGCTATACGGTACTCAGGCTGTGCCCGTGAGATTGAAGATTCTGCTTGATCGACTGTTCAGTGTATTGAAACAGGAAGAAGTACTGCACATCCTCCATGGTTTGGGCTGGACTCTTCGCGACTATGTTCGAGGTTACATCCTTCAGGTAGGAACCCTGTTCACCAACAGGTAGATAGCTCCAGGGTTAAAAAAACAAAACAAGAGAGGCATGACTTCTTTGCTCAGAGCCTCCCTTGTAATGTATTAGGTACATTGTATGTTACTGGAATTGAGAAGAAATTATGTTACCAAAATGTTTTGTTTTCCCTGAATACAATTAGTACTTGACTTATGAGTATAATCGAGCCCAACCCTTCTGTTGATAAGTGAGACATTTGTTAAGTGAATTTTGCCCCATTTTACAACCTTTCTTGCCACAGTTGCTGAGGGTGTCACTGCACCTGTTAAGTTAGTAATATGGTTATTAAATTGCAGGATCCCATCTGGGTCGGTCACCGGGAATGGAGGTTTTGACTTCTCAGCTTTCGGACTTGTGCTGGAGCCCATCTTCAGGGAATTCTTCTCTAGTAGGTGGGCTCCAGCACAAGTCTGAAAGCTCAGAGAAGTAAACCTCTGGTCCCAGTGACCGGCCTAGATTGAATCCTGTAGCGTTATCCATATTTTCGCCTTCATTCATTCGTGGTTATTAAGTGAATCTGGCTTTCCCATTGACTTTGCTTGTCAGAAGATCGCAAAAGGTGATGAACGCATGATGCAATCGTCATAAATATGAGCCAGTTGCCGAGTGTCTGAATTTGGATGATGATGCTATAAAAATTGAAAGTGTGAAAAATGGTCATAACTCACTTTTTTTTTTAGTGCTGTTTGAATGGTCATTAAATAAAATGTTGTAAGCCAGAAAATACCTGTAGTTTTAAACATTCACCAATGTTTCTCTTGTACATTTTTTTTACCACATAGCAAGAGTTATATGACTTACAACAACACTTTTTAGGATTTCAATGTTTTATTCTGAAATTAGTACAATTCCTAGCTCTCCCACTTGAATTGAAAATAAACATTATTTAAAATAGTAAATCAAGAAGGATACAGTTAGCTGAACACTGTCCTTAAATAAATTCATTTATGAACATTGTTCATTTTTAACTGTAGGATTTTCAGAATAGTTTACTTCTACATTAGGGAAAGTAACAAGCAGCATTTATTGGCTATTTTCTGAGATATGGATTATGCCACAATTGTATTCCATTTGATTATCCTGGTTACTTATGCTTTAAGCATAAATGTGATGGTTGGAAACTGAATGCCCTTATTTATAAAGTATGCAAGAAAGATTTAGGATGCATTTGTGTACATAGTTACCTGAAAGTAAGTCTCACTGGTCTTCTGATTAGGTATCCCTAAGCCTACATTGTTAAAATCCCGCAATACTGTACACTACATTGAAAAACACCAACTTTAATCAAATTGTAAATTGGCATTTTTGAAATTAACTTCAGGTACGCACATATAAAACTGAATGCTCAAAGGAAAGCAAAATAATCAAATTATTATCTATAATTGCATATTATATTTTTAAACAGGACACAGTGATTGCAAAAACAATAACATCCTGTGTTTAAATAATCACTGTGTTTGGAGGTAATGTAAAACCATGGTTTAATGTTTCAGAAATAAGCATCTCTCTAAGCTTGCATGCTTCGCCGTAATGCATGTACATGGTTGAGATTGAAAACTTCTGTTTTAGATTATCTCTAGCTTAGTCTGTAGCCTGAGCTCTAAGCTGGTTCGGTTTGGACAATTTGGCCAACTATGTTTTAGCTACAAATGTCCTTGGCTTACTTTTAAATTACCTTGTCATCCAAATAGAGTGCAGTAGTTTCTTCTAACCAGAATAATCTCCCAAAAAGCTTAAAATAAAACATTGGTTCTTCTTCTAGCTTATTCTGCCCAGAATAAGCCATTGTGCTGTATTTGGATGACATGGAAATTAATAAACAAGCTATGTTTGCAAGCCTGAACTCAGAAAACAAACCTCTGCCACATTCACATCCAAACTACAATTAGCTAACAGTGCATTATCAGAACGTAGTCTATGTGTTTTACTGAAAATAAGATGACTTCATTATCTACAGTTTAAGGTTATATTTGAACTGATAATGACTAGATGCATTCAATATCTTTTTTTAAAAAAGAGCAGTAATATACTGTTTAAACTTCTGCCATTCAAGTATGGAGGTTTCTGAAGTTTCTCACTCAATGACTCCTATTTCTGTTTACATGAAAGCTTTGTATAAAAAAGGAAGACTACCAAGAAGGAATTAGTGGAGGAGCTGATCTTGATTGATCTAAAAAAAAATTTGAGCATGGGCAGACTTTAGTATATTTTTAATTCTGAATGAGGTCATGCTTCCCAGGCAGAATCAGTTCATAATCTGTGGGTCCTCCTGGACTAACAGCTTCTGCTCAAAGGTAGCAGCTGAAACTAGAAGCTTTGCACTATCCATCTTGTTGCAACTGATGGAACAGGAGCCTATCACTGTCCACATGCCTGTCATCTCAGTGTGGACTACTTTTCATTGGGCTGCCATGAAAACCACCCAGAAACACCAACAAACCCAGAAAATTGTGCCTTAGACAGTTATGGGCCCTAGTTGATTTGCTTATTGATTACCAGTTTGTTTCCAGACACAATTCAAAGTGTTGGTTGTTAATGTTACTGCCCTACATGGCTTAGGATTCGGACATATGCATGGTTTCTGCCCATCATTAAGAATTGGAAGAAAGAAACTCTCCACGTCTCTTCCTGAGGATAGTATAATTTCGGTCATCTAGAATAGAACTTCGAATTCTACACTGAGTTTTCAAAAAGCAATTTAACCTTAGATTCTCAAGCATTTGTCTGGAAGTCTGAGATACTCTCCTTTCATCCTTTCTACAAAAGGGAGTGTTGCACAGGACAGCATTATTAGCAATGCTGAGGCTACTTTGCTATATAATTTGTTTTTATCTGCTTTATTGGGCATGTATTCTTCTTAGAGGCTTCTGTGATTTGAATAGCATATACGCCCAATGAATAAATAAATAAGACACACATGCACACATTCTTAGATAGGGGATCAACAGAAAAATATCAGGATTGTAATTTTGACATGAAAATTAAAGAAATTGGAAAAATATCCTGAAGGAAGAATTGGTAAGTCACTTCTCTATTATTCCCCCCCCCCCCCCCCCAAAAAAAAAAAAAAACTAACTTGACAGAAAGTTTATTTACTCATAAGGATTATTGGTGAAGCTGTTTGCCTCAGTGTTACAGTTTTCTAAAGAGCCTTCTCATTGCTATTTGTTGATTCCTAATAGTATGGTCTACTATTAGATATTGATTGAAGTGTTTGATTTGTTGCTCCTGTGTTCTTACAGGTATATATATATGTTCGAGTATTTTCCCATGTCATTATAGTTGTGCTTTTAAAGTTGTAGCAATGTTTCGGCAGAATCTCATCTGCCATCATCAGGCTTCTGTATAGTGTTCGTTTGTGAGTCAAACTTTTTTTGTGAGTCTGACTCACAAAAAAGCACAATTATAATGACGTGGGAAAATACCCGAACAAAGCTGAATACCATACATATAATTTTTGAGTAAAAGTGAAACTGCAGCCAGTGGAATGTAAACTTAGAATAAGGGTACTAGTTTCACCATAAAGATCAGATGATTGGTTTGTTCCTAATAACATTTGCCTTTTGTTTTTATCCTAATTCCACAATTATATCTCTCAGTTTTGGATGTGCTGAGCTTATCTCATAAAAACTAATAAGCATGTTAGAGGGGATACTTTATTAATAACCCGTCAAGCCTTTAATCAGTTGGCAGCAGTCTACACGTAATATTATGTGTAGCTCTTTTTTTATTGTGTGAAAACATAGATAGGTGCATTCTCATCTGCTTTAGATTCAAATATATCCCTTCTGCTCACAGATGTACATTTTTCTCTTAAACAATGCCATGTGTGCTTGTGTATTATAAATTCTTAGGGCCTGAATAATTGTTGCTTAAAAGGTGAGGGAAAAGGCTAATATCCTGATAAATAGATTTGGTTTTTACACAGGCTTTTAAAATGCCTTTTTTTTTTTCAGATGAAAAGTTCAACACTCCAAGATTATATTCTGTAACTCCTGCATGGAAAAAGAAGCTTGTCCTGAGTAAATGTTGCAGGAACAAACCACTCTTTTATTTTTAAGATACCTATTAAAATGGCTGTGCAAACTATGCACCAGGACTGCTCTAGACAAATGAAATCCTATCTAGCCTACTTCATTAATAGCATTCCTTTATAATTCTGAAAATAATAATGATGAGGCCTGTATAACAGCTGCTGCACATTTCTTTTAAAAACAAAACAGAAATATTATGTAATGGGAACTTTCCCAAAATCAACCAGCTAATTCTGCTGTACAAAAAGAGTCACTTGAAGTCTTTATATAGAATAATAAAACACCTGCAAACAGAAAAGGAATGACTGTGCATGAGCAGGGTAGTTTTGCAGACAGGTAGCTGAGTTAATTTGTTTCAACAAAAATAGGCAATGTGGTACTTTGATGACATCTTAAATCTAATATCATTTTAGCAGTATTTAGATGTTTGAATGCATTATGCCACACCTGTGAGCCTTTACAAAAGTTCTCCAATACACATAGTACTTGATTTACAACCATTCATTTAGTGACTATGCAAAGTTACAGCAACACTAAAAAAGAGACTTGTGACCAATGGTGGGATTCAAATTTTTTTACTACTGGTTCTGTGGGCATGGCTTGGTGGACGTGGCATGGCTTGGTGGGCATGGTGTGGCTTGGTGTGCGTGGCTTGGTGGGCATGGCAGAGGAAGGTTACTGCAAAATCCCATTTTCTTCCCACCCCACTGACCTGCTTTCCAGCTCCGTTCTCCTGTGCAGGGCAATGAAAAAACAGCCAGCAAATCAGCTGGGACTTAGGAGGCAGAGAATAGATGGGAGCGGGACTAGTCAGAGGTGGTATTTGCTGGTTCTCCTAACTACTCCTAACTACTCAAAATTTCTGCTACCAGTTCTTCTGAACTGGTCAGAACCTGCTGAATACCACTCTGTTTGTGACCATTTTTCACACTT